ATTACATAAAATTATAGTGTCCAAAATTTCGCGGAGCTGCTGCGTTAACGGAGGCTAGTACATACATGAGGCATGCATAGACGAGCTGGCAAGATTTACTGAGCAGGTAATACATATTTTCATACCTTAAGCCTAGCATGTCTCACTCCATCAAACCGGTTGACAGATACAACCTAGATGAAACTCTCAGTCTCCATGCACACCTTTTCTTTAATGTCGACATAATACCTTCCTCCTGAAGGGCATCATTTAAACATCATTGTAAAACCGGAATATATCTGAAAAATACATGTGACACATTTTATTAGTTCATGGACTTACAGCTGTGAAACACAGAACAAAAAATTACCAAAAAATAGATGAAATATCAAGATTATACAAACCATTATCCCTGTTCTTGATGCTTGTCTACTTGCCATTAGTTCCTTGAGATTTCCTTTCCTACAGGCACTCCTCCAGGACGCTATAGATCAGAGACGCTCGTAATCCATAGGCAACGGTGCGTACCCTCAGAAGAGATTCGTGGGTCCCACGAACCCCAGTGTTCGACTCCCCACCATCCTGGTCCACAGCAGAGATGAGTCGTACGGCTTTTGAAAACGTACCGAGTGAGTGCGAATAAGGAAGCGCATTGCCACTACCCTTGGTGCCGTACAGAAGGCGGAATCCGTGTACACTACCGGGTCTCCGGGACAAAGCCGCAGAGATGCACCCGTATAGTCGGTGGCTTCCGCCATACCTGGTTGCCCCGGTGGGGGTCGTGCTCCGAAGCCGGCAGTCACTAACGAACGTTCTCCTCGCTTGTATTGTTTATTGCCTCTGCTAGATTTTATTAAGTTTTAGAAAAACGACTAAATTCGCAGGTGAAAAGAGCAAGCTGATTAAGTAAGAAGGAAAGGTTACACCGTTGATCTATTGCTCCTTCAGATGTTTTTCACCCCTTAACAATCTGCCGTCTTAAATATGCCAAGTACTTAAGTTTTGAGTACTGTGAACTAGTATCGTCGACGGAAAGAAACCACACTCGCTAGGCGTTTATGACTTGAGGACTATTTACGTCAATCAGGCTATACAGCTTGCGATATGGGAGACAGGTAAATGGCACACGAATTTTAAATTGCCTCGCAGCTCTTAATTGCCACGGATAGCTGGCAGGCCCTGTGAGAATCGATGGTAAATTTGACTAGAAATTATGTGCGGGCTTAAATCAAAAATATTCATTCTCGTCTGCATTAATCGCTGCTTGAAACAGACAGCAAAGAAACCTTTGCTATTTTAGGATTTTCTTAAGTTTTGGATAAGACAAGGAATATCTAGTAAAGGCTAGATATTGATGAATACGCAGATCACATCAAGAGCAGATGAACGGAAAGTGAGAGATCTGAATCTGTGCAAGAAGTCATCTCAGTTTCATTTATTCAGTATTGATTCTTTCAAGAGAGACACGAAAAACCCCGCGCCACAGACAAACCCGATATTACTCTTTCCATTAAAAAATGCCACAGGGACTAGATACTAGTAGACCTTATACATATCAACATTATATTTACAAGGGTAACAAGGGAGATTAACAGGTTTGACCTTCAAAATGGTGATGGCTTTTGTCTTGGGAGCAGCTCATACATAATATGATCATAAGAGTGAAAGACAATTAAGCATCTAATAAAGTTTTTCTAAAATATCCTACATTATTCTTATAGTTATCTTAAGAAGTAGGATATGTGAAGTCCATAAGTTAAAATTAAATGATCTATAATTAGAGAGAAGACTGAGAAAAATGAGTGCAAGAGAGAGTTAGAGACAGCGAGAGTGAGAGACCATTGGATTTTTTAAGCTCTGTGTAAGAATAAATATGTAAGCATATGATCACAAAGCAACGAAAATTTAATTTTTAGATATCAATGAGAACAAATAGAAGAGAAATCACTAAACTATCAAGAATCCTAATGAGAATAAAACTTTTACCAGACATTTCTAATCCAGATCTCAATGCTTTCGAGACAACTCACACACTTGAGAGTTAGCAATTGACTCTTTACTCCTTCTATAAAGATTTTACCTGTATTAGAAGATATAGGAGAGATCAATAAAGAGGAATAAAGTTAATGAAGAGAGAGAAAGAAATATCCTTGTTGTCGTTGTCCAAAAAAGAGAAAATATATACCTTATTTATAGAAAGAGGAATAGAGTTGATGGAGAGAGTGACGTCTTCAACCTCCCTCGTTTTCCGCTCCCTCTCCCTACATGACCCCGAATGGGTCAAAAAGGATGAGGTGACAACTATGTCACCACCCCTCACTCCTTACACATCTCCCAAATAGTCAACCATGATGGATAGATACTGCCAACACTCTAGTGAAAATTCTTTTTATCATAACTTATCGATAAAATATTTAAATCTGTGGGAGAGAGCCGGAGATATGGTGGGACTGAGTGGGAGAGAGTTTAAAGAGATAAACATTGGCAGAGCGAGACCGACATTGGCAGAGGGGGGGGGAGAGGGAGAGAGTTATCTTACGTGCTAGTCTATTGTTTATTAACGGTATGGTCCCGTCAAGATTCTATTTGTTAAGTCAATTAAAAAATAAAATTTGTACAGCTTCATGGATGGTTTTGGTGCCATAAAGAGATATTGCTTGAAAACCGTTTCGGCCAAAGAAGTTAAAAGAAATTTCGTGCATGATATGCGATATCAACTTCTCCATCTAGATGCTTAATCTTAAAGATTATTCAGTTGATAGAAAACCACTTCCAACTCTAAAGCCAATGAGTGTCTCATTGACTTGGGCCAATCTAAAGTTGTCCGCATCCATTGTTTCAAACCATTCTCAACATGGACGTAGAATCTACTTTTCATCTGAGTAGTTTCTTTAGTAGTAACTTTTTGAACGGTCAAACTGGAATGTATAAATGACACTAAAAGATATTGGGATGTATTCTAATTCCACGTGTGAAATAAATTGGAATGGAGCGTTCGTTTGAGAAAAGTTAATTAAATAAACATGCTCTAACTAGTAAACCCCGACATCCACTTATCCGACATTTTGAAAGAGTTAATACAAGATTAGACAATGAATGCTCTGTAACTCATTGTCGGAGGCAAACGATGATTTCACGTGATGAGGTAATACAACTGTCCAACCAATATTAACGCCATACCAGTAATACTAGTATATGCAAATGTATTTTTCGAAAGTCAGAGCTGAATTGGTCCTCTCACTAATTACATCGAAATCCATTGCCCATCGAAATCCATCACTAACGCCATACCCTTAATGTGCGTTTGAAAATGTGTCTCCATGCCATTGGATTGGGAGGCTTATGGTAGAGAAGTGGAAGCCCACCTTCTTCCAAACCCAAGTCAGACCTTATCCTTGAACGCTGTTTTGTTCCACGAATCGCAGCAGTGAACGACATTGTCTGATCAAAATGTCGCTCCGAGTGTTCCCTATAAATAACGGGCACGAAGGAAACTCGAAGCACCAGTCTTCCCGCGTCTCTTGTCCACCATCCACGACTGGGGTATCTGGGAATTCAAGAGGAGGGACGGAAAGAAAGATGGCTCCAACCCGTCTGGCACTGATTCTCACCATCCTCGTCGCTGGACTGGTCCTCTTCTCGACCGTCGCAGACGCCGGCGAGCCACCTGCGCCCCCAGGTGAGAGCGGTTTAGTGCGCTTTACTTTGAGTCTCCTTCCAGTTAATCTGTTTTGCGGTGGAAATGGGCGGAGCTCGTACTGTTAAACGCACGCAAGCTTCTTTTTTATGAACCTTTTTTCAGGTGCCCTCAGCTTAGCGGTGGGGGGGAACTCACAGCCCCTTGCAACCTCATCCGTGTACTACTGCTGTCTTCGTTGCTGCCGTTTCTATGCCGGGAAGTGCCTTGTTTGTTGTCACCGTCCGATTATTAGTACGACGCCCTGTGGTTGCACGCGATGCTGCCTTAGTGTTAGCGGCTTCTGCCTTCGGTGCTGCTGCTTTAGTGTTGGCCCCTTCTGCCTTCGGTGCTGCTAGGCGGCGGGATGCGGTTCTTCAACCTTCCTCACCGTTCCCAAGTCAAATAAGAGGAAGTGCCTGATGTATCAAAGAAATAAAAGGAGGCGTCTCATCGACGGCCACGGACGGCCACCTGGATGAAACCTGAACTGTTTAGAGCACGCTACCGCTCTGGTCGGTGATATATGCTCGTGTTATCGTGTAGTTCTCGGTTAAAATAAGCGCCGACTAGGTGCCGTTTCTTTATAGATTCTGAACGACTCCACTATCTCGTGCCTTCTAGACAGTATCAGACCGGGTTTTGAATGAGAGGAATAGCGAGTGACTTTACGACAGGGGAGAGCGAAAGGGAGATTAGAAACCTACATAGACGGGCAGTCGGACAGAGAGGGGAAGATAAAGTACGAAAGCAGGAAAGGGAAAGCGTTGACGAAGAAATGTCGATGGAATGAACTGAAGTTGTTATCTAGTCAGGTTATACAAGGAGAAGAGAAGCTGAAAAGGCAGGGGAGATAGGGAGCGAGCGAGAGAGAGATGGCAAATCGAGATTAGAAAGTCAATCGAACTGAAGCTTCAACTTCATTCTGTCTTAATATCCAATGTGTGAAGCGATATTAATAAAACACACCGATAAATTTGTTGGAAACGAGGTATTAATATCAGTCAAACCGAGGCCAATAAATATATTCGTCATTTGACTCTGTCTGGAAGTGCTTCTAAAAATGCCGAATAATCTCGAGAATAGTTTGCAGCGAAAGAAATGAGAAAGATAAGAGAGAAGAAGAAGAAGAGGCTGAATACAGCGAGAATTCTTGATGCATTATATCTTTGATGTACACCTCCTTTTATAGGAGTCTGATTCTCCTATTTTAGGAGGTCTCAAGGAAATGCTCTCACTAGTACAGATCGAACACCTGAGTTGGCAAGATGGTTATAACCATCTTGCAATGAGCCAACTCGTACATCTATTAATGGGCCATTATTACTAGGCATTGGTTGATCCTTTAACACTCCCCCGCAAGTGAAGCGTCGGATAGGACATTGAGCTTCGACCGTAGAAAGAGAAAACGATGCTTGGGAAGCCCCTTGGTCAAGAGGTCAGCTGTCTGATCACGACTGGGAATGGCACAAATGTGGAGTTTCCATGCGGCGACTTGCTCGTGGACAAAATGAAAGTCGACTTCAGTATGTTTCATCTGTGCATAACACATAGGATTAGCTAAGAGATAGGTGGCTCCAATGTTGTCGCACCAAAGTATAAGAGCTGGCAAAGATATCTGGAGCTTGCGAAGAAGAGAATTGATCCAAATTAATTCCGTAGAAGCATTATCAATCGCCTTATACTCTGCTTCTGTACTAGATCAAACCACTGTTGGTTGCTTTTTGGAGCTCCAGGAGATTAAACTAGAGCCAAGATAGATCAAAAATCCACCAGCTGATCGACAATCAGAGGTGCTGCTTGCCCAATCAACATCACTATAGGTGGTGAGAGAGATCTGAGTGGCATTTAAGATAGAGGCCATAGGCAATTGTTCCCTTAAGATATCGGAGAAGATGCTTGAGATAAGTCAAATTGGTTGATTGTGGGGAATGCATAGATTGACATACTTGATTAACTGCAAAGGAAATATCTAGTTGTGTTAGACTTAGATATTGCAGCGCTCCAGCCACACTATGATAGATAGCAGGATCACCATGCGATTTCATGGTTGAAGCAAGAGAAGTAGTGAGAGTCAGAGTGGGCAAAGGTTTGCAATAGTCCATATGCAAATTCTTGAGAATATAGGCTTAATGTCCTTGAGTGAGAAGGTACTCGTCCTTGTAAGGTCGAAATTCAATTCTGAGAAAATGAGATGTAGGACCAAGATCTTAGAGAGTGAAATGTGACTTGAGGGATTTCACAAGAGTGTCAATTTGAGTTGAGGATGGCCTAAGGATTAAAATGTCATCCATGTAGATGAGAACATAAATTGGTCGAGAGTGTGTAAAGAAAAGTGAGGTATCAATTTTTGAACTAGTGAAGCCAAGTCTCGTGAGTTGATTGGTAAGCTTATGGAACCATTCTTGTGGTGCTTGCTTAAGATCATTGATGTGACTCAGTCGTTGTATATTAAATCACGTAAATATAAAATTTATAAAACTAGAAAATACAAATTTTCAGATATTTAGAAGTATTTCTAAATAATATATCAGTTATAATTTAATAAAAATTCTAAAAATAGTGATAATTTTCCAGGTCAATCACAGGGATGTAGTATAATATCTGGTAATTATTTAGAATTTTTCTCAATGAATAAGATTTTCTTACGAATTTTATACTAGGAAATAAAAAGGAAATATATTTAAAATTCACGAAAAAAAAGGAAATAAGGGTGCGGACATCAGGATGACGTCAACGCCCGGCGAACGCGAATCAGGCGAAAACAGAGTTCCGCCCGGTGATTCTTATGTAAGCGATTACAGACGACTTAATTAATCAAATTAAGATCTGTAAAAGCTAGAAGAATCGTAATTGAACGAAGTATAGTTTGGTTAATTAAAATCACACAAAGTATCACTAAATGAAGCATAAATTAAATTGAACGCAAGAAAACAGAGTTTTGGTGTCGTGACGGCGATGCGTCGGTGATGCACTAGAATCCTGAGCATTTTGGAGGATCGTCGTGTAGTGTCTACGGCCTCGAAGGCTCTCATTGGACAAAGACGACGTGGGCAATCTCTAAATCTTCTCGCGAAGTCTAGAGATCAATGAAGTGGGTCGTCAAATCATCTCCGGCGGCTATCACCTGACGGAGCGGAAAAACGGCGACTTTACGGCTCTCTAGTGGCTGTCACCCGACGAAGAGGAGCTGGATGGAGGTGGGGTGCGTGTCAGGGAGCTTCATCCTCAAGTCCGCGCAGCAAGAGGAGGCTCTTCATCACATCTAGTATGCTCTCAGGAGGTGGCGACTGGTCTCCCGGCGGATCGTCCTCTTCCCGACGACGGCTTGTTCGTCGATCAATCGGAGATGATTTTCTCGATGGATTTGCGATCCTTTTATCAGGAATCATTCAGTAATTTTAGTAGCAATGCTCTGCAAATTGCGTTGACGAGATTTTTGCTGATGATCTAGTGATTCTCATTACTTAATCCTTCACTGGCGATCTGCAGGAAAGTCACAATAATCAGATAAAAATATATGAATTTTGACTATGGAAGGATTCGAACCCGTGCCAGTCTCCCGCCTGTGAGGAAGGTGTGACGCGGGTTTAGTCCCACATCGGTTGTGTGCCTTTCGGGCGAATATATAGTAATGTTAACTTTGAAAGCAAAGTCCCTTCTCTCGTGTGTACGACCACTCCTTGCCCCACAGCCGGCTGGCCACCAGTGACATGGAAGGGGGGAGTGGCGCAAACATGCCCCTGTCGGTTTTATTATTGGTTTTTGAGTTAGTGGAGTGAGGCTTCGCCGATTGAGAACATCTTTCGGTTGGTTTTATTTATATCTCTGGGCTAGGGAGTGAGGCTTCGCCGATTGAGAACACCCATCTTGCTTTCTACGTGTTAAGGGTACATCTTATTTGACTTACAGTATAAAATAAGGAAGAGGAGGAACAAAGTCACTCGACAAAAGGAAAGGGAGAGGTACTTAATGAAAGGGGTTGGATAAGGTGGGAACTTCTTTAATCTATTTACATGAAAACAAACTAGCACGGTTGATGATATCAGCGCAAGTGTTAATAACACGACCTTGACTGTCAATTACGGATTGGTTAAAATGGAAACCGTTTAGGTTGAAAGCCATAATACTAATACCTAAAGCAATAAACCAAATACCTACTACAGACCAAGCAGCTACTCCCTGACTGCACTTCTGACCCGCTCGCAGGTCCCCCCATTTTGCAATGTTTTTTATTTTTATTTCTTGTTCTTCATTTATCTCAAAGATAAGATTATAAAAATCGTATAAAATCACATAATTACCCAAAAATTCACGTTAATCAATTGAAAACCAAAAATCATTCTCAAATATAAGTCTATTTATCATGAGTTAAGGCTAAAACTATATTATTTACTAATTATTAACTCATGATAATGAAGATGAAGACTTATCAATCATATAGAGACTTCTAAAGTTGGGAGACACAATTAGAGAACTTAGGATGCTTGAATCCTTGAGGCTGCTCCATGTAGATAAGTTCCTTCAAATCGCCATGAAGAAACACATTAGATATGTCAAGTTGACGAATATACCATTGTTGATTGACTGCTAATGAATGTAGATGTCAAATTGTGGTGACCTTGACCACGGGACTAAAGGTTTCATGATAGTCAATGGCCACCTCTTGATGAAAACCCTTTGCCACTAATTGAGCTTTGAATCACTCAAATTTGCCATCGAGTGAGAGTTTAGTTTTGTACACCCACTTACACCCAATGACCAGTCAATTTGATGGGCAAGGCACAAGCCACCATGTGTGATTTCGAATCAAAGCATTGTACTCTTTGTTCATGGCTCGAACCCAATTAAACTGTCGAGAAGCAGAAGAGTAGCTAGGTGGTTCGAATAAGGTCACTATGGTGATTGAAAAGCAATGAGGGAGAGGATATTTAACAGGTCTGACAAGGTTGACTTGGTCAACAGAGTGAAGAATGTCTACAAGTGATTTGGTTTGAGTATGGGAAGGTGAAGAGTGATGGTCCAAATTAAAGGGAGACAAAGAATTAATGGATGGAATATGATCAAGTGGTGAGGTAGGTAAAGGGCTGTCACAAGGAGGTTGGTCGAAATCATAGTGGGGTGATGATGGTAAAGGAGTGGGTGGCAAGTTAAGGTTGGAAACAAGAGATGTGTGAGAGAGAGTAAAGGAGTTAATGATGTTAAGGATGGGTGTATGTGTTGAGGGTTCAATTGGGCATGAGCCAAGAACACCATAAGCAGTTTGAGTAGGTGAAGAATTGCAACCCCAATTCTCTACATAAGGGTAAGAATTTTGAGTGAAAATGACATCCCGAGAGATGTAAATTTGACCACATGTCAAGGAAAGACACCTATAACTGTGATGAAAGGCATTGTAACCAATGAAAACACACCTCTTTGACTGAGAATTCAACTTGGTGGCATCCAATTAATCAAATAGACTATAGTGCAAATGGCTGCATCCCAGAATTTGTGAGGCATGGATGACTAAGTGAGTAGAGAAAGGGTAGTTTCAATCACATCTGTGCTTCCTTTTAGTAGTGCCATTTTGAGCTGGTGTATGAGTATAGAATAATCGATGATTTATACCATGTTCTTTTAAATATTTACTCACTACTTGAAACTCACCTCCCTAGTCTTATTGAAAATTTTGGATTTTCAAGTTGAACTATCGCTCCACTTGCTAATGAAAATTCACAAATGTCTCTAAAGCATCACTTTTGAGTTTCAACAGATACAACCATGTGTACTTAGAAAAGTCATCAATGAAGATAACATAATACTTGTTACCAAGATGTGATGTAGTTGGCAAGGGGCCCCATAGGTTTGAATGAATTAATTCAAGTGGTATGTTTGATTGATTCATTGAATCTCCATAAGGAAGTCTATGTGATTTGGATGAGAGGCATGCATCACAAGTGGATTTTTTACTAAAAGCCAAAGTGGAGAGTCTATAAGTAGTAATTATGTGATGAAGAAGTTTAAAATTCGGATGACCAAGTTGTTGATGCCATAGGTCCATTGCCACTTTTTGCATAAGGAAGGCTCTTGAATTATTTGACTAACTATGTAGGTAAAACCCATCTATGAAAGAAGAAACAATAAGAGAAAGAACTTGTTGATCTTGCTTCCACGATGTTTAATATGTAGGACTCACAATAACTTTGCTTGCAAAATTTGTTTGTATCGAAATTGGTAGATCTTGATTGCGAATATGTGTAAGATCATAACAATTCAGCAAAAGGAAAAGTTGAGTTTTTTATAAGAGGAAATTCTCCCAACTGAGCTTGATCAAAATGTGCAATCCAATTGAACTCGAAGAGGCTGATTGCATGACAAAGAGAACCTGATTATCTCCGTACCTTGTAATCTCTATTGACAATGAGGAATTCATCATTGATCAAGAATTCTGTCCTGCCATTGGCTCTGACACCAAGAAGAGAAATGAGAAAGATAAGAGAGAAGAAGAAGAAGAGACTGAATACAATGAGGATTCTTGATGTACACCTCCTTTTATAGGAGTCTGATTTCCTATTTTATGAGGTCTCAAGGACATGCTCTCATTGGTACAAATCAAACACCTAAGCTGGCAAAATGATTATAACCTTCTTGTAGTGAGCCCACTTGTACATCTATTAATGGGCTGTCATGATTAGGTGTTAGTTGATCCTTTAACACTACCTTTCTTGTATCCCCTTTCCCTAAGTTCCTCATGGTCTTCAAAGTCTGAGGACCCTCACTCTGTATTTAGCGTTCGTAAATCAGTGAAGTTCCAGCAACCTGTCTCTTCACTCCTCCCTTGGTGCCCATCCTTAGCTCGAGGTCTGTCCAATCCAAATTGGGGCATCCATCAAATGAACTGAAGTTGTTGTCATGAGTATAAATATGACCAATCGAGATAAGAAAAAGTAGAGGAGATTGGGAGTGAGCAAGCGATAGCAAGAGAGAGAGAGAGGGAGCTATGATGATATGGAGCAAGGCTAATGCCATGAGTCTAAACATGACCAATCGAAATTAGAAAATTAATCAAACTGAAGCTTCAACTTTATGCTTTGTCATAATATCCAACGGATGAAGTAATTTGAACAAAACTTACCGATACATTTGTAGGAAACGAGATCTTAAAATAAGTCAAATTGAGGTCAATAAATATATTTGTCATGTGACTCTTTGCGAATGTGCTTCTTAAAACACTGAATAATCTTTACAAATGGTTTGAAACCAGATTGGACGGTAATTAGTCAACACATTGCTTTCCTCATATCTTGAAAGAATTACTCCGCAACCAATTAATCTCCATCCAAAGTCATGCTGGACAATAATGTTGAATTTCACTTCATTTGAACAAACTCAATTCTCAGCAGATTTGTATGTTATACTGCATCAGAATATTCGTCCAGCATTCAATTTCCGTGCCCACCACTTGTATCGTTTAGGGAACGACTCAGGCACATCCTTTTTGAATATTCTAATAGTTTTCTCTCTCACACACCTAATTCGACTTCTCTATTTGCATGAGTTTTTGTGCTTATTAGGCACCTAGGAACTTTTATTAAGAGATTTAATATTCTTTCTACATATATGAAATCAAATGCTATGTGATGGATAATGGTGATGAGAGAGACAGAATAAAGGTAGACAAAGAGGAGGGCAAGAAAGAGACATACAATTGATTTGTGTCTTGTCTCTATATGAAAAAGAGGTGTTGGAAAAGGGTGAGGAAGGGCAAACAGGTAGATGATAAAAGAGAGAGATGAACAATGTTACAAGTTCCAATAGGATCATGCCTTGGTGGTAAAATCTGAAAATCTATAGTGTTGTATAACACCTAGTATACACTGGTGAATTAGTGTTTGCTGCTACTACCAGTCCCATTCATCAGTAAAACATGTTGAACGAAAGTAGCTTTAAACACTAGCTTGGCTTGGCTGAGTAATTATTGAACCTTTTGCATCCACTATTGCTATTATGTTCACATCAACACGTGGAGCATATTTATCACTTTCCATTAAATTGTAGCTAATCATCAATGCATCTTTTCTTTAAATAAACATGGCAATTTGGATTATTCATGTTCAGCCAAACGATAGGTCCTCATTAGCAAATAGGTCAAAATATTGAACATAGTCAATAGAACTATTTCTTGGAATGTTAGAGGTTTTAATCTTTAAATTTTATGCTAGTAAAAGTTATAAATATGATATGAACTATCATTTTAACATCTAATTCTACTACATTGTAGTAACTTATCTTTTCTGTATTTGGTCTTACTGTGCTGTGTCACAATGACCTTCATTTCAAGTGAGTCAACTCTCCTCATACAAATTAGTGAAAAACACTAATTTAGTAATCAACAAATCCTCAAGAGTTGAAAGACATTTTTAAAAGTAGGATTATGTTGTAATGGCAGAAGGGTATGAATGCTTGTACTAGAAGTGGGATCATTAGACATGTTACCCACCATGTTACCCACCATATATTGAGCATTAGACATGAATACCTATACTAGAAGTAGGATGAATACAGTAGTGAGAATGTACAAAATTGATGAAATAGTACAAAGAGATGATGTACTCGATTGAAGAAATCCTCTAAGGGCTAAAGAGTTTGTTCATAAGTGGAATACCAACTTGAAAGAAGAATAATATCTTTATCCACAAAATTACTTGGTGATAATCCAACATTTTCCTTGGTTTGCCTGCAGTTAATCCCTTGGAAATTGAACTATTACCAAACAGTTTATCAGAAAGTTAGGTATGAAGTGGGAATTTAGGCTATAAAAGTATATAACAATTGCTATTCTATTTTTCTAAAGGGCCAATCATTCTGATGCATCAATCTCAATATTTCAGTTTGAAAGACTAGTTGCTTATTAAGTCCCAAAGAAACCAAATGTATCTCGAAATCATATAGTTTCTATGGACCAGATCATGTTTGTGGCATTGGTCTTAAAAGACTTTTTTGGAAAAATGCTCCATGCAAAATGTATAATCTATAAACTTCTTGAGAAAGAAACAAAGGAAAGAGTTCTATGGGCTATGAAAGAAGATGCAACATTTTTTGTGCCTTGGTTGGTTTGTTTGCCTAGATTATATAACCCATCACATAAAATTGTAGTATGAACAATTGCGTGGAGCTGCTGCCTTAGCTGAGGCTAGTACATATAAGAGGCATGCATAGATGAGCTGCCAATATTTTATGTGGCCTACCTTTTTTTTGTGGCTGCCACATTAAATGCTTGCATTTAATGCGAAGAGGAGAAATGTAGTGTAAGAGAGGAATGATGCAGATAGAAGAAGGGGAAACCATTTGGTGTGTTTCTCAAGGCTCTTATTGGCACAATTACTAAGGTGACTATCACATTAAATGCTTGAATTTAATACAAAAGGGAGAAATGGTGCAAGGAAAGAACAATGCAAGCAAAAGAAGGAAAAATATTTTGACATGTTTATCAAGATTCTTATTAGCATGGTTACCAAGGTGATTGCAAGGTGCCTATAAATAGAAGGTCACTTTTTCTCAATTTGGGGCAACTCAAAGCATAGAGAGAGAGTTCTTGGTAAAGAACTTTCAAGAAAAGTTTCTTGAGTTGGAGTGCATTAGAGGACCAAGATCAAGGATTCGTTCTTTGAGATCTTAGAAGGGTCAAGATCAAATATTTTTTCTTTAGGTTCTTGAAGAGTAATTCTCTTCTACTACTTTTCACATCTAGTAGAGCTTTCATCATCGCCTATAGATGTAAGAGGCCAACCTCTAAACCACGTAAAATTCTTATGTTAGTGCTCTTGTTACGAATTGTTCTTTCTCTTACCTTACTTCACGTCATGAACATTGCTTCCATTGAAGTTCATATATGATGTCTTGCTCAAAAAATTTCTATGTAGGTAATGCTTATTTTGACTGAAGAAATGTTATCCCTAACATGTCTGACACTATTAGACCAATTTACAAGAGACTACCCTTGCTACTACATAAAACAAAGAATCAACATACACTACCACTTCTGAGGACAAGGTCAGAAGGATGTTGTCATATGTTATATACCTTCCTTGTGCCGTACCTAGTTTCCTTGATGGGGTCGAGATGAGAGGTCGACAGTGACTAACAAATGTTCTCCACGCTTGTTATGTTTATTGCCTATTGTAGAATAATGAGTCTTAGTAAAAGGAGAGAAGTTTCTAGTGAGAAAAGCAAGCCAATTAAAAAGGAAGAAAAGGGTTACATCACTAATCCTTTGCTGCTTCAAATATTTTTCACCCCTTAACATTCTTGTTGTCCTAAATATTCTTAGCACTTGAGTTGAGTATTGTGAACTATTTTTGTTAGGGGACAGAAAATTTGCCTTCACTAAGCATTTATTAACTAATGAGGAAGGACTTTCTTGATATTGGAGAAGGGAAAATGGCAAAAGAGTTTTGAAATTTTTTAAAGCTCTTAATTATAACGGATTGTGGCCAAGTCATGTGAAAATTGATTTTAAATTTGACTTAAAATTTTGTGTGGGAAAAAATCTTAAAACATTCATTCTCTTTCGCATTTATTGCTGTTACAAAAAGGCAGCAAATAAAATTTTACTTTTTTGTTTTATATTACCCTTAGGATAAGATAAGGAATATATAGTCAAGACTAGACATTGAGGAATATGATGATCACCTCAAGAATGGAAGAATGGAAGGTGAGAAGTCTAAATCAAAACAAGAAGTCATCCCATGGTCTTTTATTCATTATTGATTTTGCTAAAATGCAGACAAGAGGAGCCAAAAGGCTGCACACAGCCAAAACCTGTATTACACTTTAGACCTGATGTTACAAGGGCTTAAAAATTAGTGGGTGACGTGACTCAGTCGTTGTATGTTAAATCACGCAAATATAAAATTTATAAAACTAGAAAATACGAATTTTCGGATATTTAGAAGTATTTCTAAATAAATATATCAATTATAATTCAATAAAAATTCCAAAAATAGCGGTAATTTTCCAGGTCGATCACAGGGATGTAATATAATATCTGGTAATTATTCAGAATTTTTCTCAATGAGTACGATTTTCTTATGAATTTTATACTAGGAAATAAAAAGGAAATATATTTAAAATTCAAGAAAAAAAAAGGAAATAAGGGTGCGGACGTCAGGATGATGTCAGCGCCCGGCAAACGTGAATCAGGCGGAAACACAGTTCCGCCCGGCGATTCTTACGTAGGCGATTACAGACGACTCAATTAATCAAATTAAGATCTGTAAAAGCCGGAAGAATCGTAGTTGAACGAAGTATAGTTTGGTAAATAAAAATAAACAAAGTATCACTAAATGAAGCGTAAATTAAATTGAAAGCATGAAAACAGAGTTCCGGCGTCGCGACGGCGATGCGTCGGCGATGCACCGGAATCCTGAGCGTTCGGGAGGATCGTCGTGCAGTGTCCACAGCCTCGAAGGCTCTCCTTGGACAAAGACGACGTGGGCAATCTCTAGATAAAGCAGGAAAACAGAGTTCCGGCGTCGCGACGGCGACGCGTCGGCGATGCACCGGAATCCTGAGCGTTCGGGAGGGTCGTCGTGCAGTGTCCACGGCCTCGAAGGCTCTCCTTGGACAAAGACGACGTGGGCAATCTCTAGATCTTCTCGCGAAGTCTAGAGACCAATGAAGTGGGTCGTCGAATCGTCTCCGGCGGCTGTCACCCGGCGGAGCGGAAAAACGGCGACTTTGCGGCTCTCCGGCGGCTGTCACCCGACGGAGAGGGGCTGGATGGAGGTGAGGCGCGTGTTAGGGAGCTTCATCCTCAGGTCCGCGCAGCAAGAGGAGGCTCTTCATCGCATCTGGTACGCTCTCAGAAGGTGGCGACTGGTCTCCCGGCGGATCGTCCTCTTCCCGACGACGGCTTGTTCGTCGATCAATCGGAGATGATTTACTCGATGGATTGCGATCCTTTTATCGCGAATCGTTCAGAAATTTTAGTAGCAATGCTCCGCGAATCACGTTGACGAGATTTTCGCCGATGATCCAGCGATTCCGGTTGCTTAATCCTTCACCGGCGATCTGCAGGAAAGTCGCGATAATCAGTTAAAAATATATGAATTTTGACTCTGGGAGGATTCGAACCTGCGGCGGTCGCCCGCCCCTGAATGTTTAGTCCCACATCGGTTGTACGCGGATTATTCGGGCAAATATATAGTAAAGTTAGCTTTAGGCAAAGTCCTCTCGCGTGTACGACCACTCCTTGCCCCACAGCCGGCTGATCACCGGTGACGTGGAAGGGGAGTGGCGCACACGTGCCCCTATCGATCCAAGCAAGCTGCTCGAGCCCCTGCTCGCGGCTACTCCCCGACTGCGCTTCCGACCCGCTGCGGGCCCGGCTGGCCGGCGGATTCCCCCATTTTGCAATATTTTTATTTTTATTTCTTGTTCTTCATTTATTTCAAAACTAAGACTGTAAAAATCGTATAAAATCACATAATTACCCAAAAATTCACGTTAATCAACTGAAAACCACTTTTCATGCTTTAACACAAATATAAGTCTATTTATCATGAGTTAAGGCTAAAACTATATTATTTACTAATTATTAACTCATGATAATGAAGACTTATCACACCCCCCAACTTAAATCATTGCTAGTCCCTTAGCAATGGAATTACGAAAATAAAAATTTACAAATCTCAAACATCATATTTCAATACAGAAAAAAAAAATACAATTAGAAATGATGCACCTTTAAACACTTTGGATTCTTATATCAAGTATTTAAGAATGATGTCAAGCACTTAAATGTTTAAACACTCCTTGGAATAACAATCTAGACTTCACTTCTTCTATTCACATCTTTATCACTTCTTCACTCATAGATGTATTTACAAGATGTTCCAATTATCAATACTCATCCAAGAATAATATTGATCTTACATTTCCCTTTTTCTATGACTTGATTTTTGAAGTTTGCACTATATTTCTTCCCTTTTTTTTTATTTTTTTTATAAATAGTGGATAAGTAGCTTTTCCTGTAGACAAATTTCGACAATAAGAATGATGTCTCACACCCTCCATGTGTACTCTTCATTTTCAGGGCTTTCACTTTATCCACTTATTTTTCAGCAAGTGTTTTTCTATGCACGATTTTCGACAATGAGAATGATGTCTCACACCCTCCATGTGTACTCTTCGTTTCTAGATTTTTCACATTGCTCTCTCTTTTTTTTTTTTCGAAATAAGTGATTTCTCCTCACAAGTCCTATAGATCAGGGTGCAAAAATCTCCATTAAACTCAAATGATCAATCAAATTTTCACATCAAGTAAATACTATCCATCAAGATCATGAAGTGAAAATCTGCAAAATCAAATCCATGTTATCTATCATGTATCCAAGGAGTATTCCAACATTTTATGCTACTAGATCATTCTTTTGACTCAATAATAATCTTCCTAGTATCTTTTGGTATCAATCAATCTAATTGATTTAATTTTTCATGCATGTAATATGATGTAAGGAATTTGTAAATTAGATAGTTCTGACAATTCCATTTTCTATTTTCAGTTCTATTTTTAGCAGCAATAAATTTGTCAAAAATAAATCAAAACTATCTTCTTTATAGCTGTAATTTCGAATTTCAGTAATATATATCTAGGGGATTGAAATGTGAGAAAAGGGTCTTCTAGAATTTCAAATTTCGGGCTGTTTTTTGTCTGCTGTTTTTGACAGTCTGTTGTTTCTGACAGAAAACCAGAAAATAGATGTTGCAATTTTTCCGAATTTTATTTTATTTTTATTTTTTTAGTTGCTGTTCTAAGTTGAATAAAATGCAAACACATGTTCTTAATCGTCCTACAGCATAAATTAATAATGAATACTTCACCCCCCAACTTAAAAATGACATTGTCCTCAATGACACAGAAAACTCGAAACAGAATATGCAGAAAATATAATTTTCAAGTGAAGCATGCATATCTGCAAAGTTAAGCATTAAAAATATTTTCATAAATGATGAAGCTCAGAAAGACATCACCTCAACCTCGTTTTTAATTTTCCACTTCATCTTACACTCCTCCTCTTGCACTTTTTCGAAAGAAAAACAAACACAGAAACAAGTACTGCGAAATTCTAAGAAAAACAGAGATCAAACAAAATGAAATAAAAACCATGGGTTGCCTCCCATGCAGCGCTGAATTTAATGTCTCCAGCTGGACTCCTTTATCTTACTCTTGAATTTCTTTTAATAATAAAATTTCTTTTTCTGCAAGGCGTTCATGTTCTATGTAATATTTAAGCCGCTGTCCATTTACCTTAAAGTTATGATCACTTTTAGGATCTTTAATCATTACAGCCCCATGATCAAATGTCTCTTCCACCACATAAGGCCCTTTCCATTTTGATTTTAATTTTCCTGGGAATAATTTCAGCCTAGAATCATATAACCACACTTTTTGTCCAACATCAAATTTTTTTCTGCTAATGTATTTATCATGAAAAGTTTTAGTTTTTTCTTTATATATTCTATGATTTTCATAAGCTTCATTCCTCAACTCCTCTAGTTCATGTAACTGAAAAATTCTATGCCCACCAGCTGATTTTTCATCCATACATAAATTTTTTATAGCCCATAATGCTTTATGCTCTATTTCCACAGGAAGATGACATGGCTTTCCAAAAATGAGACGAAATGGGGACATACCTATGGGATTTTTATAAGCTGTTCTATAAGCCCATAATGCATCTTGTAATTTCGTGGGCCAATCTTTCCTATCTGGTCTAACTATTTTTCTCAAAATTCTCTGAATTTCCCTATTTGCTACTTCAGCTTGCCCATTTGTTTGGGGATGATATGGAGTGGCTACTCTATGGTGTACTCCATTCTTTTTCAACAGTTCTCTGAAATTTTTATTTGTAAAATGTGTTCCTCCATCACTAATAATCACTCTAGGACATCCAAATCTCGAAAAAATATTTTCCTGCACAAACTTCATCACGATTTTATGATCATTAGTTCTAGTAGGAATAGCTTCCACCCACTTCGACACATAATCAACAGCAAGCAAAATATATTCATATTTTTCAGCTGATGGGAAGGGACCCATGAAATCTATTCCCCATACATCAAAAATTTCGACTACTAACATATTACTCATGGGCATTTCATCTTTTTTACTCATGTTACTTATAGATTGGCATGAAATACATGTTCTACTAAATTCTATAGAATCTCTAATGATTGTAGGCCAATAAAAACCGCACTGGAAAATTTTTGCAGCTGTTTTTCGTCCAGAGAAATGTCCTCCACAGTTAGATGAATGACACATGTTAATAATGCTATGATATTCTTCTTCAGGAACACATCTCCTTAAAATTTGATCATTGCCCAAGTAATATAAATCAGGATCATGCCAAAAATAATTTCTAATCTTAGAAAAGAAATGATTTTTTCTGTTCTTATCCCACTGTTCTGGAGTTTTTCCAGAAACCAGAAAATTAACAATATGTGCATACCATGGTGATGGTTGATGTTGAGCTGCCATCAATTGTTCATCTGGAAATGCGTCTTGTAAAGGTGCTGCATTTATTCCTGTATCACTTAATCTAGAAAGATGGTCAGCAACAACATTCTCGAAACCCTTTTTATCTTTTATTTCTAAGTCAAATTCTTGCAACAATAAAATCCATCTTAATAAACGTGGCTTTGCATCTTTCTTATTTAACAGATATTTTAATGCTGCATGATCAGTATAAATAATAATTTTAGCTCCCAAAATATATGATCTAAACCTTTCTAACGAAAATACTACAGCTAACAATTCTTTTTCAGTCGTGGTATAATTTAATTGAGCATCAGATATAGTTTTACTAGCATATGAAATTACTATGGGTTTTGACTCTTTTGTTTGTCCTAGAACGGCCCCCACTGCATAATTCGATGCGTCACACATTATTTCAAAGGGAAGGGACCAATCAGGAGCTTGTAAAATGGGTGCCTCAGTAAGTAATCTTTTTATTTCGGAAAAAGACTCAAAACATTTCTCATCAAAATTAAAAGGCACATCTTTAGATAATAGCATGGTGAGAGGTTTAGAAATTTTCGAAAAATCTTGAATAAATTTTCTGTAATAACCTGCATGACCCAAGAAAGATCTAATCTGTTTTACTGAATTCGGAGGTTTCATTTTAGATATAATATCGATTTTTGCTCTATCCACCTCTAAACCCTTTTCACTCACAATATGACCCAACACAACTCCCTCTTTAACCATAAAATGTGATTTCTCCCAACTCAAAACTAATTTTTTCTCTATGCATTTCTCAAGTACATGCTGTAAATGATTTAAGCATTCATCAAATGATTCACCAAAAACAGAAAAATCGTCCATAAAAATTTCCATGCATTTTCCAATCATATCAGAAAAAATAGACAGCATACATCTTTGAAATGTGGCTGGAGCATTACACAGACCAAAAGGCATGCGTTTAAAAGCAAAAGTACCAAATGGACAAGTGAAAGTTGTTTTTTCTTGATCTAAAGGGTTTATATAAATTTGATTATAACCAGAGTATCCATCTAGAAAACAAAAAAAGTTTTTTCCAGCTAATTTTTCTAAAATTTGATCAGTAAATGGTAGGGGAAAATGATCTTTTCTAGTAACTGAATTTAATTTTCTATAATCAATGCAAACTCTCCAACCGGTAGTTAGTCTTGTTTGTATTTCCTCCCCATTTTCGTTTTTTATAACCGTGATCCCTGATTTTTTTGGCACTACTTGTGTAGGACTAACCCATTTGCTATCTGAAATAGGGTAAATAATATCAGCAGCCAGCCACTTTAAAATTTCATTTTTTACAATTTCCATCATGTTAGGATTTAATCTTCGTTGTGGTTCCCTGCTAGTTCTAGCCCCCTCCTCTAAATATATACTATGCATGCATACTCTCATATCAATGCCCCTTAGATCGTCCATTTTCCAGCCCATAGCCTTCTTATTTTTTCGAAGTACATCTAATAATTCTTCTTCCTGTTCATTACTCAAATCAGCTGCAATAATAACAGGAAATGAATTATTTTCCTCCAAAAACATATATTTTAAACTAGAGGGGAGAGGTTTCAACTCTAAATTCAGATGATCTTCCTCTTTCTTTTCTTCTAAATTTATATTCTCTATTTCCTCTAATTCTTCCAGCACACAGTCATCAATAACATCTAGATCATCAAAATCATCTAGAAGATCTATGGTATGACAATCATATACTTGGGATTTCTTAAGATCATTTGATACCTCAAAAATTTTAATTTCTACTGATTGATCTCCACATGAAATTTTCGCAATACCTGTGGGAAAATCAATATTCATCTTTGCTGTATGCAAAAATGGTCTCCCTAGGATGATTGGTGTATCATAAAACTGTCCATTAAAATCTATTTCCAGCACTACAAAATCAGCTGGAAATTTACACCCTTTAACTGTCACTATCACATTTTCTAAGATACCTTTAGGATGTTTTATGGATCTATCAGCAAATTGTAAGGTAACAGTAGAAGGTTTAAGATCAGAAATATTAAATTTATCACAAATACTTGCAGGTAATAAATTAATACTAGCACCGGTGTCAAGTAATGCATTCTGAAAAATGAATCCACCAATATCACACGAAATTAAAGGAGCACCTGTATCTCTCAATTTAAATGGTAATTGATTTAATAATAACGCACTAGCATGCATAGATAATTTTTCTACTCTAGGTGCCCTTTTTGGTGTACACATTTCTTTCAAAACTCTAGCATATTCAGGAATATGTTCAATGGCAGTGAGTAAAGGAAGACTAATTTGCACATCTTGTAAAATTTTCTTTATTTCTTCATTGTGTTCCTTTTTCTTTCTTTGTCTAGGCTCTAGAGCTTTAGGAAATGGAATGGTTGTCCTCTCTTTCGAAATTTCTTTGGTAGAATCTATAAAATCCTCTTCTACTCCTATTTGATTTTGTTTTGGGTTGTCCACATTTTCTTTTTCTTCTAATGTTTGGGGATAAGGATCAGGTAAGATCTTACCACTCCTTAATGCATTCACTGTCCTAACATTTTCATTTCGTGGGTTTTTTCCTAGATTCATGCTACTAGACTCCCCATGCTGAAATCCTATTGTTGGGCGGTTCCCTGGATTTTCTATGGGCTGACTAGGTAGCTGTCCCTCTTCTCTCTTATTCCCAAGGGCCTCTATAATTTGTTTCTGGTGCTGCATCATTTGATTCATAGTTTGTTGCATCATTTGATTCATAGTTTGTTGCATCATTTGGCTCATTTGCTGCATCATTTCCATAGCATCAGGTTGGGTTTGAGAGGGCTGATTTTTCTGAAATCTATTTTCTTATTTTGGACGAAATTCAGAGTTTGAATTGGGTCTAAGTGCTTCTGGATTTTGAATATTATTTGGGTCTCTCCATGAAAAATTATTCCTCCAATTAGGATTATAAGAATTTGAAAAATTTTCCCTATTTCTATTAAAACCGTGAGCTACTTGCACTTGTTCTCGCATAGGGTGAAATGATTGATCTAAATTATAACATTGAAGTTCAGAATAATCATTTTCACCATACATAGGACATGTACTATTCGAATTAAGTTGAGGGTTAAAAGGCTTTCTAATATTATCAATAAGTAAATCAATTTTTTCTAATCTTTGATTAATCTGATTAACCTCATTTCTAAGTTTAGAATCATCATCATGATGCAATTCATAAATTTCTCTCTTCATTTCCTTGTCATATAATTCAAAAGAGGCTTGATCTCTAGAATTTTCACTTAAATTCTCATAAAGACTGTAAATCTCATCAGGAGTTTTCTCCATAAAAGCTCCTCCACATATAGAATCAACCATATTTCTATGTTGTTCTAATAATCCATCATAAAAAATTCTATTGAGCTGCCACTTGGGTATAGCATGATGAGGACACTTTCTAAGTAAATCTTTGAATTTTTCCCATGTCTGATGCAAAGTTTCTCCTGGTCTTTGAGAAAAACTCCATATATGTTTTCTCATATTTTGAGTTTTTCCTAAGGGATAAAATTTTCGAAGAAAGGCCTGTTCTATATCTTTCCAGCTAGTTAATTCTCTATCTAATGTGGATAGCCAATGACTAGCTTTGTCCCTAAGTGTATGAGGGAATAATTTCATCTTAATAATTTCCGGTGTAACTTGAGGGAGATTAACTAAATCACAGACCATATGAAATTTTTCTAAGTGCTGATGAGGTTCCTCTAAAGGCAATCCATGAAAATTAGGGAGCATTTGAAAAATTCCTGGATTTATTTCGAATTTAACAGTGGGTGCTAATGGGACTCTAATATTGGATGCTCTTTGAAATGAATCAGGGATATAATGATTTTTCATGGCCATAGGATTGTTCTCAGTTTGACCTGTACTTCCTTCAGGATCCATCAAAATTAATTTTTCTTTCGGATTTTTATTTTTGAATGAAATAATGAAAGGATTTTCTAGCCTTGGATGCAAGGATCTTCTACCATGCATAAAAATCAATAAATTCGAGGGAAAAAGTTAATAACTGTTACCCTCCTTCAGGATGCTCCAGTCCTTGCCGTGCTTCTTTTCGTTCCCTTTTTCTAATCGGCAAAAAGAAAATAAAACAAGAGTAAAGTTTTTTTTTTTTTTTTTTTTGTGTACTCTAAGAGAAAAACAGAAAAATACTAAATATTATTCAATACATCCCCGGCAACGGCGCCAAAATTTGACGTGACTCAGTCGTTGTATGTTAAATCACGCAAATATAAAATTTATAAAACTAGAAAATACGAATTTTCGGATATTTAGAAGTATTTCTAAATAAATATATCAATTATAATTCAATAAAAATTCCAAAAATAGCGGTAATTTTCCAGGTCGATCACAGGGATGTAATATAATATCTGGTAATTATTCAGAATTTTTCTCAATGAGTACGATTTTCTTACGAATTTTATACTAGGAAATAAAAAGGAAATATATTTAAAATTCACAAAAAAAAGGAAATAAGGGTGCGGACGTCAGGATGACGTCAGCGCCCGGCGAACGCGAATCAGGCGGAAACAGAGTTCCGCCCGGCGATTCTTACGTAGGCGATTACAGACGACTCAATTAATCAAATTAAGATCTGTAAAAGCCGGAAGAATCGTAATTGAACGAAGTATAGTTTGGTAAATTAAAATCAACAAAGTATCACTAAATGAAGCGTAAATTAAATTGAAAGCAGGAAAACAGAGTTCCGGCGTCGCGACGGCGATGCGTCGGCGATGCACCGGAATTCTGAGCGTTCGGCAGGATCGTCGTGCAGTGTCCACGGCCTCGAAGGCTCTCCTTGGACAAAGACGACGTGGGCAATCTCTAGATCTTCTCGCAAAGTCTAGAGATCAATGAAGTGGGTCGTCGAATCGTCTCCGGCGGCTGTCACCCGGCGGAGCGGAAAAATGGCGACTTTGCGGCTCTCCGGCGGCTGTCACCCGACGGAGAGGAGCTGGATGGAGGTGAGGCGCGTGTTAGGGAGCTTCATCCTCAGGTCCGCGCAGCAAGAGGAGGCTCTTCATCGCATCTGGTACGCTCTCAGGAGGTGGCGACTGGTCTCCCGGCGGATCGTCCTCTTCCCGACGACGGCTTGTTCGTCGATCAATCGGAGATGATTTACTCGATGGATTCGCGATCCTTTTATCGCGAATCGTTCAGCAATTTTAGTAGCAATGCTCCGCGAATCGCGTTGACGAGATTTTCGCCGATGATCCAGCGATTCCGGTTGCTTAATCCTTCACCGGCGATCTGCAGGAAAATCGCGATAATCAGTTAAAAATATATGAATTTTGACTCTGGGAGGATTCGAACCTGCGGCGGTCGCCCGCCCCTGAAGGTTTAGTCCCACATCGGTTGTACGCGGATTATTCGGGCAAATATATAGTAAAGTTAGCTTTGTAGGCAAAGTCCTCTCGCGTGTACGACCACTCCTTGCCCCACAGCCGGCTGACCACCGGTGACGTGGAAGGGGAGTGGCGCACACGTGCCCCTATCAATCCAAGCAAGCCGCTCGAGCCCCTGCTCGCGGCTACTCCCCGACTGCGCTTCCGACCCGCTTGCGGGCCCGGCTGGCCGGCGGATTCCCCCCATTTTGCAATATTTTTATTTTTATTTCTTGTTCTTCATTTATCTCAAAACTAAGACTGTAAAAATCGTATAAAATCACATAATTACCCAAAAATTCACGTTAATCAACTGAAAACCACTTTTCATGCTTTAACACAAATATAAGTCTATTTATCATGAGTTAAGGCTAAAACTATATTATTTACTAATTATTAACTCATGATAATGAAGACTTATCAGTGGGCATTCCTAAATGTGGATACCAAAAAATAATAGTAGACCCTCTACAATGCAATTCCTATTTTACAAGGATAACATGGGAGATTAACAGGTGTCCCTCAAAAATTGTTGTAACTCTTAACTTTGAGGCAACTCATACATCTTAGAATCATTGGAATGAAAGAGATATGGTTTCCATCAACCTAAGTATCCAATAGATTTTCCCTAAATATCCTGGAATATTCATAGTGTTAGATTCAAAAGTCATATTAATGGAGTGTGGAAATTGAAATAAATGGTGTAAAATTGGAGAGAGGGCTAGAGAGAGAGTGCGAGAGAGAGAACCAAAGACTAAACTAGAATCAGAGATATACCAAGAAGGGAGAGGGAGAGAATTAGAGTGGAGAAAGAGAGAGAGAGAGAGAGAGAGAGAGATGTTGCTATGCCCTGATTTATTGTTTATTACAACATGTTTCAGTAAAAATTTTATACATTCAATCTTCTGCTCAACAGTTTATGTTTGTACAAGCCATTTTAAAAAAATATATATTTAAAGCTTCATATCCCATTTTGGTGCGAAAAGGAGATATGCAATAAGAACTTTTTGGATAAAGTTAACTGAAATTTTGTGCATGACATGCGATACAATTTTTGCCATATAGATACTTCATCATTAAGATTATCCATTTGGTGGAAAGTTAAACTCTTTAGCATATAAGGGTGTGATTGACTTGGGACAATCAGAAGATGTTTCATTCTCCTCAGGTTTCTCTCAGCTCATTTCTCCCTATCTATTATAATTGAGCTTTTACAAGTTCTCTTCATCCATTATTTCAAACTATTTTCAATATGAGTAAATGTCTAATTTTCACATGAGTAGTTTCTTAAGTAAAATATTATTTGAATACTCAAGGGAAAGTATAAATGGCATTGAAAAATATTGGCATCTATTCTATCTTCTCATGTTAAAATAGCAAGGATGGATCATTGTCTTTTGTAAAGGAAATTAAATAAGAATGCTCAACAATGAATCCCCACAAACTCTTCTTTGGCATGGTGAACTGACTATTAAAAATAATTAAACACTCAATGCATTGTGTTATTCATCACTGGAGGTAAATGATGATTTCATGTAGTGAGGCAATACTATAGTCCAACAAATACAAATGGCATACTAGTAACCTGAGTATACGTCAAGGTCTTTTCCAAAAGTTGGAGCTGAATTAATTCTCTGGCTTATTAGATCCAAGTCAATTGCCTATATGAGCATTTGAAAAAGTGTCTCAATACCAAATAGATTGGGTAGTATTGAAGTGTGCCTCCATCCAAAGCCAAGGTTGACCTTATACTTTTATGTTTTGTTCCACAATTCGTAGGAGCGAATGATATTGACTAATCAAAATGTCAACCTCAATGGTCACTATCAATAAGAGGCATGAAGGAAACTAGATTCGCCACTCTTCCTACACTTATCCACCATTGACACCTAGAGTATATGGGATGTCTGAGGGACATTAAAAAAATGGCTTTAAATTATTTGATCGTTATTGTCACCATCCTCATCACATGATTGGTTTGTTGAATCTGAAGGATCTAGTGGTAAAATAGATGAAGAATGATAAAATATAATGAAAATAGATTAAAGCTGTACCTAAATCTATGAAGGCACAAGTACAAGGATAGCCTTTTGAATTAGTAGAGAGGAGTCATCCAATGACTTAGTCTAAAGAGATGGGATGCTCTAAGAGTGACTCACAATGTGTGACCTAAGGACCATAACCCACTACTTAAAAATAAGAGGTAGTTAACCTCTTGGTGTCTTTTTTCAATTGAGTTTATCATAAAATTAAAATAAGACAGTCTCTACACATATTTATATTTATACTCATATCTACAAGAGAGGTCATAATCTTAAATACTCTAGTAGATCTTCTAGTAGATTCACTAATAGATCTACTAGAGAGTATTACTCTAAAATATGATGAGTTTGTTCATCTGAAAGAAATATGATGACACTAGTTCATCTAAAAGAAATCTCATCTGAAAGAAATATTTTAGAGTTTTTTCAGTTAATCCTATCATAAAAGAAAGATAATATATTTATCAAAAATCACATTCCTCATCTCTCTAGTAGTTCTTCTTAATGACATCAGTTCTTAAGTATGTTGAGTTTGTTCTTCTAAAGTGGGAGGCATAATGACATTATTTTAATCTGAAGTTATTTCTTAATCAATATTAGTTAAGATAATATTATCAAGATCATTTTCAATAACAATAGAAGTAATATATTTACATATTCATTTTCAAAATCAATGTCTCTAACTTTATCTCCCCTCATAAAGTCAACATTCTCAAAGCAATTAGTATTTTTCCTTCTTAAAAATAACCTTAGTAGTGGGATTATAAAATATAAACCCCTTTGACCTTTTTAGGTATCTAACAATATAGTAACTAATTATTTTAGAATTAAGCTTTCTTTCAAGAATCTAGAAGGTCTTGTCTCTATCAAACAACCTCAAATGTATAAATCCTTTAAATTAGGCATATGATCCATCCAAAACTCATAAAAGTGTTTTGATAGTTACCTTAGTTGAAACTCAATTAGATAAGTAAGTTGTAGCTTTTAGTGCTTATCTATAGAGATTATATGACAAGGTAGATTGACTAATCATACTCTTTACCATATCTTTAAGCATTCTATTTCATCATCAACAACACTATTCATGCTCAGAAATCCTAGCATTGTATATTATGGGATGATGTCACACTGTTCTAGAAATTTATCAAAAGGTTCGAGATGTTGTCCACTTGATCCACCATATCTACTATAGTATTCATCACCACGATCTGATCTAATGGCCTTAATCTATTTGTTGAATTCATTCATAACTTTAGTCTTACATTTCTTAAACACATCTAGTGATTGAGAATTCTCATGAATAAGATACAATTAGTTAAATCGAGAATAATTGTCTATGAATATAATAATATATTGTTGATCATTCTAGGAGGTTGTGGGGAATGGTCTACAAATATTCGTATGTATTAACTCTAAGAAGTCTAAAACTTAATTGACACTTGTTTTCTTTATGTTTATTCTTTTTTCTTTGATACATTCGATACAAGTGTCAAAATCTTTATAACTAAATGAGTCAAAAATTTCATCAAACACAAGTAAGTCAATTCTTTTTTTAGGTTTATGACTGATAAGTCTTCATTATCATGAGTTAATAATTAGTAAATAATATAGTTTTAGCCTTAACTCATAATAAATAGACTTATATTTGTGTTAAAGTGTGAAAAGTGGTTTTCAGTTGATTAACGTGAATTTTGGGTAATTATGTAATTTTATGCAATTTTTACAATCTTAGTTTTGAGATAAATGAAGGAAAAGAAATTAAAATAAAAATATAGCAAAATGAGAGAATCCGCCGGCCAATCGGGCTTGTAAGCAAGTCAGAAGTGCAGTCGGGCAGGAGCCGCGAGCAGCGGCTCGAGCGACTTGAACCAATTGGGGCACATGTGCACCACTTCTCTTCCACATCACCGGTGGCCAGCCGACTGTGGGGCAAGGAATGGTCATACACATATGAGAAAGGGACTTGATTGGGAATGTAATATTACTTTATATTCACCAAAAACTTCAGTGCACAACTGATGTGGGACTAAACTTGTGTCACCTTCCCCAAAAAGGAAGGGCAACCAACGAGGGTTCGAATCCTCCTAGAGCCAAAATTCATATTTTTATCTGATTATTGCAACTTTTTTGCAAATCGTCGGTGAAGGATTAGGCAACCAAAATCGCTAGATCATCGGCGAAAATCTCATCAACGCGATTCGCAGAGCATTGTTACTAAAATTACTGAACGATTCATGATAAAAGGATTGTGAATCCATTGAGTAAAGCATCTCTAATTGATCGACGAATAAGCCATCGTCGGGAAGAGGGTGATCCACCAGGAGACAAGTCGCCACCTCTATAGAGCGTACCAGATGCGATGAAGAGCCTCCTCTTGCTACGCGGACCTGATGATGAGGCTCCCTAACACGTGCCCCACCTACATTCAACTCCTCTCTATCAGGTGACAGCCGCTGGAGAGCCGCAAAGTCGTCATTTTTTCACTCCACCAGGTGATAGCCACCGAAGATGATTCAACAACCTATTTCATTGTTCTCTAGACTTTGCAATGAGATCTAGAGATTGCTCACATTGTCTTTGTCCAAAGAGAGCCTTCGAGGCCATGGACACTACACAACTATCCTCCCAAATGCTCAGGATTCTAGTGCATCGCCGACGCATCGTTGCCACGACACCAGAACTCTATTTTCC